CAGCACAAAGACTGGACCTTAAAGTATGTAAATTTTAAAAAAACCATTTGGGAGGTTGGAGAATCCCAGGGAAAAATACAGACAGTGACAAGAGAATCTAACTGCAGTACAATAGATGAAACAGCCTCACTGGAGGGAATTGGAAGGGAAACGTGCTACTCTAAGTACCTTTGGAAATGAGAGGTATCTGTAAGATTAAGGCGATAGGAACTGCATATGAGCACTGTACCCTAGTTGATAAAATTGTTTCCCAGGGGAGTATGCATTAACAATTCTGATACTGGTATACAGTCGGCCTTCAGTATCCACAGGCTCTGCACCATGGATTCAACCAATCTCTGTGGTTGGTTGAATCTGTGGTTGCCGAACCTGAGGATATGGAAGTGACTAAGGAACTTGAGCATGCCCAGATTTTGGTATCCGTAGAGGTCCTGGAACCCATCCCCCATGAAACTGAGGGATGGCTGTATATGCATACTGGAATGGAACAGTTAAGTAAATAGATGGTAGACGGTGGGAGCCATGTTGCCCATTGTTGGAGTAGGGAGCCAGAAAAAAAGTAGGAAGTGCACACAGAATATGTGTGAACAGCTTTGTACAGTGAAGGTATTATTATTTATACATATTACTTATACCCTAAGGTGTTGTTTTTTGTGCATAAAGTATTATTATTTTCACATTATTTCATGCATAATTCAGACCATGTACTTCAGAGGTGAGGGACCGATCCAAAAAGCTCAGAACGTTTTCAGGTCCAGCTTTTAACAAATATGTCTGTCTTCTGAAGTGATCATTTAATTTGTCTGGACAGGTTCTGTTCGGTGGTCTGTTGGAGCTGTGTACATCAGAGCAGCTTAATATAAATACGTAAAGCAAAGGAACCAGGTTATTTAGAAGGTAAAGTTTAAAAATATAGCATTTACTGCTCCTAGGTGATGCCAAAAAGTGCAGAGAGAAAGAAGATAGACAGTGGAAAGTTCTTCTTTTGTTTGGGATACTACTAAATACCTGGGTGTTTGCAAATAGTCACATTTTCAGTACAATGTAGACCAAGCATCTGGATATTTGAATTTTTCTCTTTCCAGCTGGTAGTGTTGATATGGTGGAGACATGGCAGAGCTTCAAAATTAAATTGTTTCCAAATGCTTTTTACAGCATTTAATTAAAAATAAAATTTCATTCAACACCACCCTCTCCACTTTCTTTTATGTATCCTACTTTTCATATCTGCAGGAAATAGGGGAGAGGCACCAAGAAAGAATCTTTCTACTTCCCTTCAAATCAATAGAAGATCTGATGACTACATAGACAGAATCTGGATTTCAGACACACTGTTAACTTGTCTCGATACACAGGCAAATAATTTGCCACAGATTGAAACATTTCTCTATTTAGATCAAACTTCCTGCCTATTAATAGCTGTGAAACTCTAGAACGTATTACTATACCAATAAAGCATTATGTCTGTTCAAGTCTTCTTAAAATGAAGCAAGGCACAAATACTCACATACATAGTTACATATATACATACACAACATTGCAGAATCTCCTTTAAGAATTTAAATAGCAAAATTAACAGTCTGAATTGATTTGAAGATAGAAATATGGACCAAGTGAATTTCAAAGAGCCCTTCACATGCCAAGATTCCGTACTTTTCTTGTTCAATTTGCGTTCACACTTTCCTTCATTGCCTTTTTACTGATGGAAGCAATATTTCCTGGAACCATTTCTTTACACGATAATTTTCTGCTTACCTCTAGCATCCCACTGCTCTCCCTCCACGCCCCTACCCATACAAATACACACAGACACGTGCACAAATGGTTGCAAATAGTTTGGGATTTGCAGAGCAAAGGAAATGAATAGCATATAACTTTCTTTCTTTCTTTCTTTCTCCCTCTCTCTCTTTCTTCTTTCTTTCTTTCCCCATATTGTGTGACCCATTCATCATTCTGTACAATTAGACAAATGAAAAGATATCTTTTATTTGACTTGATTTGCAGTTCTTTTCAGATTCATTATGTGCATGGCTACAAGGAAAAACATGGTACCTTTGGGCAGCCTCTGATTTGTCAGGAAATTCCTTCTGCCACAATGCTTGGGTGGGGAGAACGTGGGTGATGTGATCCAGATGCATGGGCTGCCCTTTGCCAGGAGTGCAGATGTGTTTTATATGCACATGCCCAGATGGTGACCCCTCTGGCATTATTAATGTGTCCCAGCTGCCAGGCTTCCTCCTTTGCATGCATGCTCCTCGATTTCACATATTTCATGTGTTTATTTATGAGGCACAACATTCCTACATTTCATATGTGGCAGTTACTATTAAAAATGAGAAGTTTTTTTAACTGCTCTGAAAATTGATAAAGAATTTTTTAAATTGCTATGAAATGTGGCCCTCATTTTAAAATGACTTCTCATATAGTTATTGAATTCATAATGCAAATTTCTGACCTTTCTCCTTGCATGTTGAGAAAATATGGTGTTGGGTGTACCCTCTAAAGTTCATTAAGAAATTATTTGCATATATAATACATTGTAATGATTTTTTGCTTTCCTTTTATTTCTAATCTCCAAGGCCTATTTTTAAAAAGTAATGTGTCTATACATTTGAACATTGTTACTCACTGTTAATTAAATCCAGGCATCAAGTAAGAGAAATTTGGGATCTTCCAGAAATGGGTTGTACTTATAGATCCACAGGGAGACAACTAGTTTCATAAAAATATGGTCCAATCATTGCTTCAAACTACTATAGATTGTAACTCCACGGATTTGAGAAAGTGAATTAGTCCTCTAAATTTTGGCTTATAATCTAAAGTAGAAAATAAAGGAGCATGGTAGTTTCACTGAACTAAAATGAACTGACTCAACATCTTGTTTTTAAAAACTTGAGCGTTTTTATGGGGAAAATGTAAATATGAATCAAATTCTTAAAACAGAAAGATGAAAAATGCAAATGACAGATGATCAGCTTTTGAAAGATAGGGTTCGTGCCCATTGCCTTCTTTAATGTCAGAAGGAATGAACTAAAAGAAGTCAAAATCTGTAATTTATCATAGACAACTATCTCCATAATCAGCTATAGAAAATAAATGACCAACATACGGATGAAATTTTTTAAGGGGCTTCACACTTTTGTTATCAACAGTTGCTAATGCTGAGTGCTAAGGTAAGTGTATCTTGAGTCTTGATTACCTGGTTTCCAACCGTTGTGGAAACTATCCTACTTCCCTAAGTAAAGCCTGTTTTTCCTGTTTGGGTATGTATATTTATCTTGAGTTCATAAATAAAGGTGCCAACTCATTTATTAGCTTTGACCAAACCTACAAAGTAGGATGGAAAATTAAAACAAGTATCTGAGTAATTCTGCCTGGAATTTAAAAACAAAAATAATAAGTTACAGATATTTTTTCCTGAACCCCCCAGATAGGTACCTCAGACTTGCTGCATGTGTATTTGTGTCTGAATGCGTCTGTATAATAACAACTCTAGCGTTCTCTGGGAGAAGATTTAGAGCAACTCTAAGGAGACTTCAGATCCAGGCTGTTTATGGGGATGAAGCAATAAAAAGAGAAGGAAAAGCCTCAAAATGTCTTCTTATTTGACATGGAAAGAAGAATGGCTGTGGCCTTGCCTTTTTCATTTACATCTTGAAGTCCTCAAATAATTTTGGTTATTGACCTTAAGACTATTATAGCCAAGACCTTATCAAAGGATCCAAAATTATAACCGTAGGCTCTTTTTTCTAAGCCGCCTCCTTTTATCACGAAGATGAAGAAAGCAAAGAAAACAAATAAATGACGGCAGTCTTTTTGATACTCAGATGACAAATATGTGACATGCGTGCTCTAACAACTCTTTACACATTGATAGCAGACATAATTAACCGGTTGTGATACTCTTTACCACTAAACCAAGACCCAGGCTCAGAATCCTCCTCAACAGAACCTTGCCAGGTGCCACCACCAATTAAAGTCCATACCTGAGACAAAACCTCTTTGTCATGCCCCTCTTACTTATATTGGTGCTGAGCAAATAATAGATGGTTACTCTGAATGTGATAAAACATAAAAGACCAAAGATTACTGCTGTTGTTTAAACCTGTTTGCTTTTCACAAGAGAAGTTAAGAGCTGGTGTTAGGCCTGATCCAAAGAGTAGGAGAGTCACTATGGTAACCATATCAAGTCATTGACCCACAGCCCATCAGAACAGTCTGTCCTGCTTCCTGCCATGTGAGATTGAGGCCAGGCAACTTGAAGAACCCTCTGAAGGCTCCTCGGATTCAGGGAAGTGGTACAGGCCACAAAGGGGTTACACACAGAGGAACAGGAAAGAGTCTGGTCTACATCTTGGGCTGCCTGGAAAAGGCACCAGTAATTAAAGAGGAAAAACAAGAAGCAAAATGTTGGGGTGCAAATCCAATCGTCAGGGGCAAGGGAACCCGACAGTTGGGATTCCAGGGTTAACCTGCAGAGTGCACTGGGACAGCAGGCAGAAGAGGTCCCATAAGCCGCTTGGACACCACTTCCTCCTTTGACATCATTGTGCATTTGCACTTGTGCATGTGACAGTAGCAACAGCCCCTCGGCTCCAGAGCGCTTTCCCATCTGTGATATCATTGATCCCCACCTCCGTCAGTACAAGGAAGCAGGCATTGTTATCCTCAATCTTACAACCAAAGGGAGGCTAACTTGTCCAAAATCACATAGCTGTTGAAGCCTAAAGTTGCTTTCATCTGAAACACCCAGAGGAAAGGAGGTGACAGAAGGTGGATATTTTGGATAATTTCCCATCGAATTTTCAGATAATTGTGGCAGTCTGCTCCATAACTTTGCATGTACAGAACAGCCTACAGTTGGATCATCAACCTGGTGTACGTTACAGACTGATGGCGAAGGTGGTGTCCCCAGAGTAGCTTCTGAACCCATTTAATAGTGCACATGCCATTCTGGACCCTCCGTCATTGAAAGGACTTTCTGTTCGTTTCTCTGACAGCTGGTGACCCTGTTGCAGATGTGGGTTGTCCCTTTGTATTTCACGATAAAACTGTACTGGTGGCGGTTTCTGTCTATGTGGGGAATGTTCTCAGTCATTACCAGTTACATCGTCTTCAGAGCTACCCGAAAACCCCTGTCAGGGAGAACACCACGGTATGTATTCCATTCATTCCTTCCCCGCCCTCCCTTTTATTGTAAACATTAAAAAGTATATTTAATTTCCATTTTCCTGGATGGGAGAGAAGGGTGCTACACTTTTGCCTTTATTAGCAAAACCATTTGGAGATTAGCTATACTGCCGTCAGTTCACATTCCTTATTTAATGGTGATTTAGACATGCCTGTAGAATTTATGACTTCAGATATTAGCTAGTGAAGGCCAGGAGAAAGAGAAGTGAAACTAGTGTTTAAATTTTCTAGAGCACTATTTGCCTGTTTATTTTCAACTCAGCATTTTGTTTCATTCCACAATCAGTTGTGTCACACACACTTTAAAATAGAGCAAGAGTTGGAAGTTTGTATTTCTAACAACTATGCATGTATTTTATGTCTGATAAGTCATAAGTAATGGACAGCTCATTACTCTAACAAATGAGGATTTCACATTCCAATGATCTTTTTAATTACCATTGCCAACCTCATGACATTCATATAATTCCATCATATCATTCACAAATCTTTCCAAAGTGCTTGTAATCACATGATATGCCCATGGATTTGCTTTCACTCTCCATAGATAGATTCTAAATCTGAATCCAGATAAAACTGATGAGATAAAGAGAAACTGTGTAAGGTATTAAATGGTAATAAGATGACATCAAGATCTGATCTTCATTGGAGAATAAATCACAACTCCTGTGAGATATTTTTCTGATTGGTTAGCCATTCAGATATGTGTTTTCAATCCTCTAAAAAAAGTGGGAGAGACAAATATCAACTTTTCCTTTTAATTTGGAGAAGGGAAATATGCAGTGAGAGAAATCAGATAGATAAATGTAAGGATAAAGATTGAAATTCAAATAAATGAATTCAGGTTTATGAGTATTGCAATTTAATCCCACTTTAGGAAGAGCTTTGGGGTGGTGTTAGGAGATCTTCTAACCTGGCCAGTTTGGGATTTTAGATAGCTGTTGTAGGGCCTGGTTTCCCCATCAGTAAATGGACATATGACACCATTTCTCTTTCTTACAAAATGTGGCAAGTTATTTAAGACTTGTGAAAGTCTAAATTTTGGATGAATTGAACTGTACTTGTTTTCATCCCCTGGATATAATCTATATTGTACTTCAACACAAGTGGTTCACTTTTCCATCGTGTAACGAATTCTCTAGCTAAACGCAGTGTTTCTGTGCACATCAGCTCATTCAATGCAGAACTCCATTACAAGAAATACTCAAATGCTGCCGTCATACACTCCATCGCTGATGTATCTCCCATGGCCAGCGTCCCATGCCCTCTGCTTCTCATGCCCACTGTGCATCCACTTTAGCTTCTTCCTGCCTGCACAGCTACAAACCCTGACATAGTCTGAGAGCTAAGAAACTCCTCTAACATTTTAAGCAGACCTAGCTTCCATTTGAAGAGACAATAATGGGAAAGGCATTTCTTCTAGAAAAGCAGTCTGGAAAAAGAAGCTCCTGTTTATGAGAGGTAGTAGGCCCTAAGGATCTTTATGGATCTTTGCTTAATCATCGTGTTATAGGTAAGTCACGTCTTAGGTCTTTTCCATTTGGAAGGAGAGGATTTCATTACAGGCTAGGAAAGCTGGTGGGAGCCAATGGGCATGGTGCAGAAGGCAAACCCAAGAGGAGTCATCTCCGGCAGCACTGCAGCTTAAAAACTGGCTGTTCCTCCCCAGGGTATACCAAGCCCTCTCTATGGGACAGAGTAACAGAGAAGGGGAAGTGGGTTTCCCCTCTGCTATAGTTGGGTTGCCTCTCAAGCAATGTTCAGGCTTGTAAACAAGCCACATGCTGGCCACAAAGAGTTGGGCTTGATCACATCAATTCCAACCCAAGGCCAAGCCTTCCTTTGTGGAGGCTGTGCTGAAATGTGAACACAATTTCTAATCTGGTTGATCTGCCTTCCAGTGTAATCTGAGTAGCAAGGGCGTTCTGGACTCCAGTGCTCTAGAAATTTTTACCGCCAATAAGCAGGAAGATTCTGGGCTGGGCCGATTTGGCAAATCCAACACATCCGTAACAATGATATGACATATTGAGCATTTATTTATTGTGCCAAGTCTTTTAAACATTAATCTCACATAATCTTCAGAACTACTTTAAGAGCCAGTGTTGTCTTGGTGTTATAAATGAGGCAATCATAGGAAGAAATGCTAAGTAGGGTGGCCAAGATCCCACAGGCAGTAAGAAAGGGAACCCAGAATCACCCAAAGACTACTAGAATGCAAAACGCTGCTCCTGACAGCATGCTGTGGCTTAAATACATCAACAAACTGCTTCACACAGAGAAACTGCGGTTTAAAAAGTTGTTAATCAGGAACACCTCTAATGCTGGCACAACCTTGACAGGGGCCCCTCGAGGCAGAGAGAGGGTATGTCGAGTATGTATGAAGCTCAAGGAAACGGCTGGTGTTGTGGGGCGCAGGGGGAGAGCCTCAGAGCTGGGCGCTTTTCCCATCATCACCCCTTTTAGCTACACAAACTTTCTCCTCCATTAGGCTGTACTGAGCAATGATCCAAACTGCTCAGCACCAGCAAATCAAAAGGACTAACGGCCCAAGGAGTCTCTATAGCAGAAAGACCCCAAAAGCCCTCTCTGGCCCCCTTGAGAGAGGACAGCCTCTTGGGGATTTGAGCCACTTTGTGCAGCCCATGTGAGTTTCCTGCTCCAGGTAACTCCACAGTGCCAACCCCTCCCATGGGCAGGATTACGTCTAGAGGGGGAGGTGCCGCCCAGATAGCCCTGTATGTCAGTTGTTTGATGTGGGGAAAGCATTTCACTGGAGAAATAACATAAATGTCAATTCATTCCTCAGACTAGCCCACAAACCTCCATTTAAACTGTAATATTTCAGAAGGTCCCTTCTGACTGGGATTTGAATGAATCCAGAATGAAGCAGAATATCTTTTAAAATAACACTGTAATATCACAGAACGTGAGCATTTGGTGCAATTGCTCCAACAGGAAGGAAGCCAGGGAAGCTGAGAGAGTTGGTGACAGGGTGCCGGGGGATGGGGGTTGGAGATGAGAGGGTGGGGCCAAGTCTCTGGAGCAAGACTCAATGGAGTTTGCAGTGGAATGCAGGAGAGGGGCTTCAGGAGGACGTGGAGAGAATGGCTGAGGGGCAGACAGGGCCTCCTGCCATTGTTCAAACTTGTGAGCAGGCATTCCAGCCACTCCCTTATTTTCCCTGGGCACCAAGGATATCTGCCCCCAGCTGCTCCCTCTCCTTCCACCATCTCTTGTTCCAGTGGGGGAGCCCTTGTGCTGTGCTGCTGTGGTGCACCAGCAATGGAACCAGGCTGCCAGCCTCTTCCCACATTCTCCCGGGCATGAAGCAGCCACGTGGCTCTTTCTGTAGTTTTTCTGAGGGCTTTTACTGCCAGGGATGAAGGAAACAAACAGGGTACAGGGCTCCCTTCTAGATCACTTCCAATCTCACCCTCCAACCCCATCCTCTCACTTCTCCACTTAGACCTTGTTGGAAGAAGGAAAGGCCTTAGGAGCAGTCATGGTGAGTGCTGAGACACACAAAGGACCCGTCCACATAGCAGAAAAAAACCAAGGCTGAAGTGCCATTGTAATTTCATCCCAGGGCTAGGGGAGGGGCTCTGCGTGGACAGGAGATGGGATGAGGGCTGGGCCCACTACTTATGATATCCCCACTGGGGCTGAGGGGCAGCAGGAGCAGGAGGGAGAGAAACTCCTGGGGGAAGAGGTCTCCCCTCTTGACTTCTCTTCCCATCTTTTGCTCGCCTCCAAGGCACTCCTGCCAAAACCACTCTAAGCTAACCTGAGAGCCAAATGAGAAAAGGAGGGGAGCAAGGGAGGCAGGGGCGCAGGTAGAATAACCATTCCTGAAGGCCATTTTTACATGAGGAACATAGATAAATTATGATGAATTTAGGTATGCACATTACATAGAAACACGTGCATGACAGTACTATTTATATACTGCTTGTTGATAGTATATTAAAATTCTAGATTATTATTGAGTTTAGCTGAGATAATATACTTATATTCTGTATATTACATAATTAATAGAATTTTAGAAATGAAAAATTGACTTCCAACAATGTTTGAAAAAGATGAAATACTTTATAATATGTTCTGTGTTTCTCCCCATTTTCACTCCACAGATTGGTCTACAAATGGTTTCTTCTGATCTACAAACTCAGCTATGCATTTGGTGTTGTGGGTTATTTGGCCATCATGTTTACAATGTGTGGATTCAATTTATTTTTCAAGTAAGTGTCTCTAGTTAGGACATTAATATCTCCAAGCACTTGCTTGTGTCGTTCACCTTGTCAAGTTCTCTGTATCTGGAAGCCACATTTGGCCCTATAATTTTCCATGCACACATTGTTTATAGTAGATATCATTGGTATAGTAGATATCATTGGGGGAAACCACTAGAAAAGGAAGAGAAAACCCACAGATTAAAAAATTCTCAAAAAATTATAAGCTTTAAAGAGAATCTATACTTGATCTGCAAATGTAAAAGATCTCTGTTAAAAGTAGGCCTACATTTGTGGTAGAGTAATTCTTACTAACCTACAAATTTCCCTTCCACAAAATTCTGAAGTGTTATTTCCTTCAATACAGCTTTTTCCTTAAAACCTCTAGAACTGTGCTATCCAATACAGTAGCTGCTAGCTCATGTGACTATTGAGCACCCAAAATATGAAATAAGATGTGCTCTAAGTGTAAAATACACACTGATTTCAAAGACAGGACAAAAAAATAATTTTTGTATAGACTAAGTGTTGAAATTATAGTATTTTGGATGTATTGGTAAAATTGTTTCATCTGTTTCTTTTTACCTTTTTAATGTGGCTACTAGAAAATTTAAATTTTCTGTATATGTCCAATCTATATTTCCATTGGACAGCACTGCTCTAGAATTTTGTTTTTGGTACCTATGAAATCCGTTTTGCTAGGGACAAAAAAGGAAGAAACAGTGCTTAGAAATTGAAAGAGAGGTAAAGAGATAGAGTAAGAAATTCTTGGGAGAAATAAAGGAAATCTGGATAATTGTGTCTGTGATTCAGAACTGTGCTCCCATTAGGAAGATGGTTGCTGTGGATGAGGGCAGAGCTGAGGCTGTGTGATTAACCTGTGTTCTGGAAAGGGAATTTAAGACATACCACACAGCTATGGAAGGCAGCTCAAATAAAAATGCCCAGAATATCTCTCATATCAAAGTTACTCTAAATCTCTGAGACCTTAAAAGAAATTGAAAGGCAGGGCTTGATAACCCTTAACTCATAAAGTAAAGAAAGAAATTGGATGGTGAGCCATTCCTGGAGGAAAAGGCTCGTCCTATGGCAACATAGCAATCTAATTTTATAAGCATTTCAAGAAACTGTCAGAGAGGCAGCTTTTACCATTTTCTTGCAGGAAAGGGATAGAAAATAACTGTACAGACCTATTATTGCTAGTTTAGGATATAGAAAGACACTGATTTCTTTTTTCAGCCTACTGTCTATATTACTTTATTTCAGTGAATGTAAAAAACATTCATAAGAACTTTTATAAAATCACTTGGGACTATAGTTGTCCCAAGACTATTATCCATAAGATTTTAAGATCCTTAACCATGAATTCTCCTACAATGAGGCATGCCAAGAACTTAACCCTTCAGATTGGGAAGAAACTATTTTTTCACTACTAATTCTTGTTGATCATCATTGTATTAAGATTCTTTTCTGTGGAATCATAAGTTTAATTATAAATGCATGCTCCCCTGGATATGGAGGGAAGATAATCTTCATTCTTCCCCATTGACCCAAGTCTCAAATATACCTAGGCAAATCTTGAAAGGATGAAGCCACCGCTTGTGTTGGAATTCCCCATTCGCATCACCATAAGATCACACAGCTCTCTGCCTTTACCATTTCCTCGTCAAATTAGTAGAACACAAAAACAACCAGAAGTTTCCAGAAACAGACAACCCAACTTCTCTCCACTCCCTTCCCAACTCCGTCAGATCCACCAAGGCCCATTGCTAGTATTTGAGACTATTTGCAGAGATAGCAACCAAATGTTCAATGATTAAAATCCAGAAATTAAATTAGGAGCTAATTATTCACTTTTTAAAGAAATCTTTACCTTTAAAAAGAAAGAGGGTGGGGGCTGGCCCCGTGGCCGAGTGGTTAAGTTCGCACGCTCCACTGCAGGTGGCCCAGTGTTTCGTTGGTTCGAATCCTGGGTGCGGACATGGCACTGCTCATCAAACCACGCTGAGGCAGCATCCCACATGCCGCAACTAGGTGGACCCACAACGAAGAATATACAACTATGTAACGGGGGGCTTTGGGGAGAAAAAGGAAAAAAATAAAATCTTTAAAAAAAAAAAAAGAAAGAGGGTGTTATCATAGAGAATCTGAGTGTATTTGAAATATGATCCAAAATGCAAAACAATTTTTTTTTATTAATACATGGTAACTACAGCATAGTAGCAAAGGGCCTCAAAATTGGAGCTTGGTTCCTGGTTTTATTTTGTATGAACTGCCATGTTAAGCAAATCATTTTTTCTAAGGCTCCATTTTTTTCAAATGCAAAGTGGGAATGATGATCTCTATCTCAAATATTTTCAGTAAGATAAAGTATTTGAAAGCATTCTGTAAAATCTAAGCTCGATAGCAGAGATTCTCAACACTAGCTGTATTGGAGAGTCACCTGAGGAGCTCGTTTAAATAACACTGCTGTCCAGACTTCACCCCAGGCCACTTAAATTAGAGGCCCTGAAAGTGGGTTTATGCATTAGTATATGTTTAAATGTCCCCCAGGTGATTCTAATCTATAGGTAGAGCTGAGAACCATTGATCTATTAAGAGGTTCTTAATGTTAGCTGCCCACTGGAATCACCTGGGGTCTGGAGAGCTTCCAAAAACATTGCTGCACAGGCCCCGCCCCAGAGAGTCTGATGTAAGTGGCCGAGGGTGCAGCCAGGAGTTAGAGATTTTTACAAGCTGCCCAGGTCTTTCTCTATGCAGCCAAGCTTGAGAACTGCTGGTTAGAGTGAGTTTATCTAAGCACTGCAGCCTTAAGAGGCGTCTAAAGTTGTCCACTTAGCTCTGAGAGGTAAAATTTGAATGGAATTGAAAGAATTTTAAATTCTTTCATTTGAAATAAGAAAAAGTAAACAAAGCAATGAAAAAAAAGTACCCCGAAGATTCTGTTAGATACTATGGCAGTAAATACTTTCCGAGCTGCAGCCCTCCCCAGCGCCCCAAATGCTGCATTCTTATTCCCTTACACTGTTGCTTTCAATAGAATCAAAGCTAGAGATTCCATGGATTTTGGCATCGTGTCCTTGTTCTATGGCCTCTACTATGGCGTGATGGGAAGAGACTTTGCAGAGATCTGCTCCGATTACATGGCTTCTACTATAGGGGTAAGTGTTGCTTTCATTCTTTGAAACCATCTATGGAACGTGGAGAAATGGTCTCCTCTTACATGTTTGCGTCCATTTTCAGGAATAAATCTTTTTTGGTTCTCCTAGCACAGTTGCTCCTGGATTCTCCTTGCATCAAAATTGTCTTTGCTAATTAATTAGAAAATACATTTCTTATTTATACAAAGTGTCTGGGAAATAAGGTATCTTTTAAAATAAAATACGCAATTATTTGGAAGTTACCATCTCTAGGATACTCCAGTTGCCAACATTTAAAGGATTAGGAAAAAGTCAACAGTAACAAAACCCTTTATCTCTGCCTAATGCAAATAAAAATCATATTTCATGCACATAAAACACTTTACAATCAACCAGTGCCTCAGGGTAATATCATAAAGATCAGTCATGGTTATATAGCATTAGAAGATATAAAAAGTGTGCTAAATGTATTCTGACTGTAAATTGTTCCCTGGAATTAAAAAAAAATTCTAATAGTTTTTTTTAACTCTCTTAAAATTAAAGAATGAACAAACTTTCTGGTTAGATGGATTTCAGATTCAGACGTTAGGAGCATTCATCTGTGTCTGACATGTGCACATCTCTTAAAAACTTACAGACTAAGGGCTCCAGAGATGACCCAGTGGTTTCAGGAAGTCTGCGTCTCTGTCCTCCACCAGTTTCTTGGTACACAGCCAGATAGAAAACGGAAAATCTAGTGTGAGCGGCAAGGGAAGAGTGAACTTCTAGACTGTTCCCTCTCTCCATTTATGGGGCAGGACTAAGCACGCATGACCTTGACTTTATCCACAACCATATGCCCTTCCCCTCCTCCATAGGCTCTACCTTACTTTTCTCCTAGAGCCTGGAATCCAGCTTCTGTAGTCAAATGCTAGAACAACATATCTTTTGGAATCCCTCTGCCATGTATCACCTATGGGACAACTGCCTTCTTATAAAGGTTTAAGGTGAGCACTGGAGGGAGCATTTTCACTCCCAGCTCCTTTCAACAAAAACCAGAAGCCATAGCCCTGAGAAAATTCCCAAAGCTTCTTGTGCTTGTTAATGGACAGGAGAGAAAGGGAAGAGTTGTATGTCCTCCATTCTCCAGTGGACCAGGAAGAAGAGATTTAATATGGCAAGTCTTAAGCTTAATTTAACTTAACCAAGGTTAACTTAACCAAGTCTTTAAGCACCAACTTTCTGGAGACTTCTCACCTGATCCCACCCCACCAGTCTTCAACTTCTTGTCATCCTCTGTCATCTTCACTCCAGCTACAAAATGTGTAAAACCCACTGCCACAAGCCCATTGGCACAGCCACCAGTGAATTGATAGTGTGTGTGTGTGCACTCGTGCGCATGCTTGTGATGGAGGTAAGGAGGAAGCAGAGGAGGAGCAATCTCCATTCTCACACCAGTGCCTAAGCTCCACACCAGACTAATTAAGTCAGAATCTCTGGGAATGGAGCCAGTGCATCTGCTTTGTTTTAAAAGCTCCCTAGGAAAAGGAATGAGCTATTAAGCCATGCAAAAACATGGATGAATCGTAAATGCATATTGCTAAGTGAAAGAAGCCAGTCTGAAAAGGCTACACACTGTATGATTCCATTTATATTACATTTTGGAAAAGGCACAACTATGGAGATGCTAAACAGAGCAGTGGTTGCCAGGGGTTTAGGGAGGGAGTGAGACTGACCAGGTGAAGCATGGGGAAGTTTCTAGGGTGGTGTAATTATCTTGTACAATATTGAATGGTGGCTACATGACACTGAGCATTTGTCAAAATCAATAGTACTTTATCACAGAAAGGGCAAACTTTAAAGTATACAAATCTAAAAAATCATTTAGGATGTCAGAGAATGCCAGGATAGAATGTAGACTGTGACAAAAGAATCTAGGTGTATTACCAATGTATGAAATAACCTCACGAAATGGGGAAAAAGTGCTGACTTAAGTAACTTTGAAATGAGTGGAGATATAAAATCAAAAGCAAAAGGAACTGTCCATAAGCACAGTCCTCTAATTCATAAAGTTGTTTCCCTCAGGGCTATGGGTTAGCAATTCTGATACCACTATACGTGTATTCTGGAATTTAACAACTAAGTACATGGATGATCAATAGTGGGAGCTATGTTTCTCACTCTCAGAAGGTTATAGACAAGCCAGGGGAAAAGGCTAGAATGACCCATGTAGTAATGAATGAGTTGAAGACATTGGACCAAACTCATGTTTAGCTTAGTATATATTACATGTTTCTTAATATAGATGAATACATATAGAAATATTTACAGATATGTCCATATACATGTATTAGTATATACAGATATATTTCCTTGCTCCATCAGCTAAGAAGCTCTAGTGAGCACACATAGTGCCCAGATCTTGGTTTAATACCATTCTACAATGAGAGGAACCAGGACTCCTTGAAGAAATGGCTGATTCAGGGTCTTGGCAGGAAATATACAATATGTGCCTGGAGCAACTTGTAGTGCCACAAAGTAAAGAAGTGCTCAAAAAACACACAGCAAAAAAACCCCACAATGATGGGAGTATGTCAAAGAGACACAGGATTCCAACTCAACAAGTGGCCAATGGCCAAAGCTGGAAGAATTTGAGCAAGAAAATAGTAGTAATGGTAGTTTTAGTAGTAGTACAGGGTTATAAACCAAAATATTAAAGAAATATCCATGAGTATACACATACACACACACACACATCGTATCAGTTCCATCTCTCTGGAGAACCCTGACTGATACAGAGGTGGAGCATACCCCCCACCACTTAAGTGTAGGCTGGTCACAATGATTTCTTTCCAAAGAGTACACTATAGACAAGGAGTAAAAGAAAGAGTAGCTTTATAGTGGAGAATCCTGACAAATGTTACTTCAAGCCAGGTGATCAAGGTTAATATCAGCAGTGATAAGTCATGTTGATGGCATGTAGCCTTGTTATGGTGTGATAAGAATGATACTTTACCTCTGTTGTCTCCCTCCCCAAAACCCATAACCCCAGAGTGATCACAAGAAAAATAACAGATAAATCCCAGTTGAGGAACATTCTACAAAATACTCCCCCAAAACTGTCCAAGTCATAGGAAAAGTGCAAAGCCTGAGAAACTGCCATAGCAAAGAGGAGCCTGAGGAGACATGACAACTAAATGGTATCCTGGATGGGATTCTGGACCAGAATAAGGACATTAGGTAAAAACTAAGGAAATCTGAATAAAATATGGACTTTATTTCATAATGATGTGTCAATGTTGCTTCATTAATTGTGACATGTACCATACTAATGTAAGATGTTAATAGAAAAGGAAACTGAGTATGTGGTGTAAGGGGTCTCTGCGCTATCTTCACATCTTTTCTTTAAATCTAAAACAATTATAAAGTAAATATTTTGTTTTTTTAAAAAAAAAGCTTCTTAGGGATTCTAACGTGCTGCCAGTTGAGAACCACTCCTCAGCCACAGCACTGGGAAGATGCAGGTATCCCAAATTAGAATCTGAAATGCATTACCTTCCAATGGGATTCATCTGTGTGCTCCCTATCATCACATGGGAATTAAAAAATATAGTGATGCCTGGGGTTTACTCCAGATCTATGAATCAGAATCTCCAGGAGAATAAAGGGAAGGGTCAGGCCATGGGTAAGCTCAACAAGCTTCCTACAATGTGATTCTGAACTACAGCCCTGGATAAAAACTATTCCTCTTGAAGGATTCCTCAGTGGGGAAGTTAGACTGGAGGTTATAATTAGCAGTGTACTTTGGGTCCATTTGGGGTTCAGAGGGGTTTTGCCTGGAAACCTTAACCCCACTGTGGCATCACTGCTATGGGAAAAAGTGTTTCGAGTTCTAAACCGACAAAGAAGCAGTAAAGCCTCTATGTCCCAAAGTCTGGCAGTGGCTTCTGTGTGTTCATAGAAGGGCATGTGCTCTCCATTCCAACGGTGCACTGTGCATTTCCCCCAACAGTTCTACAGCATCAGTGGGATGCCCACAAGGAGCTTGTCAGACAATATCTGCGCCGTCTGTGGGCAGAAGATCATTGTGGAGCTCAATGAAGAAGGACTCATTGAAAACACCTACCAGCTTTCCTGCAATCATGTGTATCCTTTTCACGGGAAACCCATTTGGGCTTCATCAAGCCAATGTTGGGAGGGAATTTTCAAATAATCTGTGTTGGGCATGGGAGATGGCAAGTCAGGGAAGACTGTCACATCACCTTCCTCTGCTCCTGTCCCCATCTCCTCTGCCTTGCTTACCTCCCGTTCCCAAACCCCAGGCCTTTTTCCTCCTGCCCATCTTTCTTTTTGAGACTTTCTGATAATCCCTGCTGAATAATGGACTGCTCATTAAGGTGAACCTCCTCCTCCAGTAATTTCCTGTTTAAAAAGGAATCTTAGTGCCACACAGATAGGAAGGCTGCCGCATCTGCTCAGGATGTGGTCTTGGAAAGCTGACAAAGCCATAAGTGAACAGACAGCCAAGAAAGACCAGGGAGAGAAGGGTTTGGGGGTGAGGAAAAGAGTGAAGTTTCTGATACAGAGAGGAACTCAGGACTGTCCAGGTGGAGCCCTGTGTCTGAATCTCATGGGACCAATAACAACAAAGTGTACTTTCCCTGGACATAATCCTAGGATCCTGTTGTGTCAACAGTGGTAACAGGGGCAGCCAAGTATCAGTTTTGTTCTTGAAAAGAGGGTAATGCCACAGGCAGCAGGACACCTGAGATTACAAAAGGAGGGACCACAACTTGAGCACCTAGTTCTTGGACCATTTCGCTACTCTGCCTATGGGTTCTGTCCCAAATAGCCATCTATCAGCTGAGGGATCTTTAGGTGTTAGGGACCAGACAAGCCTGGGCCTGGAAGCCAGCATTCTCTGGGCACTCCAGTAACTATTGAGGAAGACCTCAATATATGGAAGGATACTGGGGTCAAGAGCCCTGAGCAAAGCAGCCTGTGCTGCCCGAGCATGTAACTCTGGATACCAAAGTTGTGTTTGGGTTGGCCAACAATCAGTAATTTAATTCTTTTCTAAATACAGGGGGAAAAAGGGCATCATTTAACTTTATTTTATAGTACAATATCAATTTTATAATATTGCTATACATTCAGTCCGTTCAAAGCTCTGGCATTCACGAGGTGGTCAAACCATCTGTCTTTTGCCTCTGAAGCCCACCTAACTCAGTCAGTTATACCCTAGATGTGCAGCACCAATGATTCAATTCTGTTTAATCTGGACAGATTCCATTTACTCAATCCTGAGAGTGAAAAACTGGACCAAATGGCATCTGAAGTGTAATAGGAGCCCTTACTGCAACACTTAAGCCTTAACAAAGATATCCCATATGGAATTCTATGGTGGTTTTTCAGTGTGATACCTTTCCCAAAAAACTATCATTCTTAGTAGAAGTTTTCCAAGTCTGGCCCTAGTTTTAAATATGATTTACGCTTCAAATGTTGGAACAGAGCCCCTTCTGCCATTTGCAAGTGGAAATATTTTCTCTCTCCACCTTTAAAAGCCCTTAGGGATTGTTGTACATGTGTGCATATGTAATCAAAAATGTAGTCACCTTTAAATTTGCTTTGCAGGGAGTATTATTAATGGCCCATTTTAGCATGAGTCATATTAGGAAGGAGTGGGCAAACATGAGTCATGTTAACAAGGGGCAGGGGACTCTGAGCATTGCTCTGCAGCAGTGCTGCCAGCTCGGAGGCTTTCTAGCATTGAGATTTGGAAGATGAAAAAGAATATTAAAGAGGAGGTGGACATTTCAGTGCTGGCTCTATGACCTCTGAACTCTATACCTATCTGGAAGATGGGTCCATACTCCAGCCCTTTTGAATGAAGGGCTGTATGGGTTTTAATTCAAAATCTTGGCTATAATACACCACTTATGTCAACCCAAACATATTGCAAAAGTGACCCCAGTTCCAAGAACATAAAATAGTGAAAACTCTTACTGGCACACAGATCTAATGTTGAGGAATTATATACATGGCCTTGACTTGTCTACACCTCCATGATCCTCTATTTGTTAGGGTGAGGACTTGTACATCATTGCTGTTCACGTGGGTATGTAGCAGGCCACTCAGAAGATCATGTGATCTGGATCCAGAAGCTGCATTGGGACCAAAGACTAGAAATAAATCAATAGGATGGATCTCATTACAGTTAAGCATTTTGCCGGAATCCATAATGTTGTGGAACCTGGGAGAATACATTTGCAAAAGTAATCGGTTTTGAGTGATTCATTCAAATGTCCCTTCAATGATCAGGCACTTATGCACTGGTTAAGGTGCTGAAGACAGAAATGAAGGAGACATAGTCCCACAGGTAGCCTATGGTCCAGGAGAGACATGTAAGTACCCAGACAGTCCTGATACAGTGTGATACGTGCTTTAAAAAGAATAAGTCCCTGATGTGTGGGAAAACATAGGGTTCACTCTCAACTTTGGGAGCAAAGGGTCAACTTTCTGGACAAGGGGTTGTATACAAATGAATTTGTAAATGCCTAGAGTTTCAGAAGTTTATGAGACCTATATTCTATTAAAAATAACTGGCTCCTTATCAGCAATAAAAACAAGTTGAGAAAAAATTTATGAAGCTAATAGAAATATTTGTAAGTTTATGACCACAAATAATTTAAACTTGTCCAAGTGCCTAAGACAAGGCTGATTACGTAGTAGGTAATGAGTAATGCACGAAAAGTAGACTAGGGAAATGCTATGGAAAATGCATGAGAAATGCACAGTGAGCGAGGCAGGGAAGTACAGTGATACATTTACATAAGATATTACTGTATAAAAGCACTTTCACATTCCATATCTAATTTAATTCTTGCGAGAATCAAGTGAGGCGAGAGGAACAAGTAAAGCCAAGAAGCCAAGTAAACTCCTCAGAGTCACAGAATTATTGCAGCCCTGACTCCAAGCTCACAGTCCTTGGAGGTTCCATTGTCCTACAGAATCTCCCTACAAAGGGATGTGCGCAATCCAGTCATGACTGACAGCCATTCTCACCCTCCACTACTCCACCCTACATATGGGATCACTTCCACGATGTCTTCATGAAGCAGACTTCGCTCTTTAATATCTAGAAGCTTCCCTAACAAGATGCCTAAGCTTTCATGAATTCTGCATCCGAGGTTGGTGTATTGTTGGTAAAAAGCAGACTTGCCCTTACTGCAAAGAGAAGGTTGATTTGAAGAGGATGATCAGTAACCCGTATCCTTTTTTTAAAAAGTTTCAAAACATTATCTTAAATGTTTCTGGTGATGCATTCTTCAGTCGAAAATTTCATTATCTTCGTTACAGTTATAACACAACACTTTCTGTTTTCCCTAACCACCTATTTCAAAATGACTTGCTGGTCTCTTTTCTCCCCTGTGCCTATGTTACTATTCTGGTTAGGAACTTAAATGCCAAAAAAAGATACTTTCTACTATTTATATTCCATATATTCCACTATAAGGGCTTTAGTGGGAATGTGAGGGGGTGTTTCAAAAAATAGGTAATTATATAGAAGGATAAGATAAATGAAAGATGGATGGTGAGATAGACAGACAGACAGATGAATGTAGGTAATTTGTAGATGGCGTGGGTGGGTAGATAAATAGATTGGAATTGAAATTTTAAAAGCCCCAAATGAGAACTAGAGTATAGGAAACTATTTTTAAGGTGTACCAAATTTTATTATTTCCAGAAATGAGTAGAGTTTTTTTCCCTTGGATTTTAGCTTTTTCAATTCCTTGCTATGCCTCATCTTTTCTTAGATTAAACCCTAGTGATAGTAATATTGAAAGGAAATGAAGACCCACAGACTTGGTCACCTTACGGCAGCAACTAGAATTTTTATAGACCCCAGGGATTCCCAATTGAATAAACCCAAATCTCACAAAGGCCACAGGAAGGTAAGGGCCCCATCCAGAGCTGACTATAAAGACTTAATCCTCAATCCCACTGGCCCAAGACCATAATATATGTCTTTCAGGGTGGGTAAATGGAATTAAAACTTATCTCCCATTAAGCAGAAGAGCCTTGAGAAGTTGGCATCAATCTGCCAAGTACTCTCTCTTCTCATTAGAGACAGCCTTTCAATACTCTGAGTCCCAGTCACCTAAATTTCATGGTGCCGAAGGAGACACCTCCCTGGCTTCCTGCTCCCCCTACTTTTCACCAACCCCAAATGTACAGTTTTAACAATGGCTGTTGGCAGCAACACCCCCATCCCTGAGGACTGCAAATCAAGGGAAGACTTTCAAGTGGGGCAGCAGAGGAGGCAGCATCGAGGGGTCTTTGGGCCTCAGAACCTTGCCAGAGCAACACCCTCTGCAGCCACCAGCTCCATCCACACGGCTGGCCTTTGTTGGTAAGACAGTCCATCTCCAAGACCACTGAGGCTACAGGTGTGCGATGCTCCTTCCTCCTGCCCTCTCATCCACTCTCCCTGAGTTTCCCTACAAACATGAGGAGACCGAGTCCAGAACCACTTTTGATTAAGACTTTATAAAACTACAGGACATAAATCTTTCTTATAAAATTGGTGATAATATGATCATAAATGTCACCTTCAATGATCATTCAAATAACAAAGGACAAGTGGTTTCTTTATATGGTCTCGAGAGAATAAACTTTTAAATATTACGTGTACTCTTTTTACTGAGACTCCATAGAAGAAAAGGTACACGTGAAAAAACAGCCTTTATGTGTGTAACATGGCTATCAGAAATGCTATGTATCAAGTGCTCTTGGCACAGTTTATCAAGGATACCAGGAAAAGGCATGTCTTAGCTGTGAACTCATGTTTTTCTTTTTAATATACTATGAGCTCCTCGGATGAGCTGACTACAGGAAAGCCCAGAGCTGTTTTTGCTCACTTAGAGCAGCTTCCATTATCCTTGGTTTTCCAACGTGGTCATTCTCCTCTTCCTCTTTCCTTTAGTATATCACCTTTGCTTTTTATTCCTGTTTTAGAGTTTGAGATTTTATTGTAAATTGTTTGGATTTATTTTTGGAAATTAAGTGTAGCATAAATGACAATGATAACCAAATGCTATAAAAATCATGCAAGGGGCTTTTAAATGAGCACATACAATTAACAAGAAAGGAAATACCCACTCATGACGTTGCTTATTATCTTTGCAAATGATATTTATGAACATTTCTGCTACTTGGCTGTAGATAGAGCAACCTCCTTAACTGGGATTTAGCTGGGAGCGCACACGCTTTTTGTATGGACAAATCCTGGATTGGCTTCGTTATTTGGTGGCCTGGCAACCCGTGGTGATAGGAATAGTTCAAGGCATTAACTATTCTCTAGGGCTGGAATAGTACAGCTGACTTGCCCCAGAAGCAATGTATTGCATGTTGAAATATTTTTAAATCCTTGATCCTACATTTAATATTAATATTCTTTTTTTAATTTTAGAGATGATCCCAAGAGTTTAGAGAAGTGAATAAAATTTGGTCTCTTACATAGGCAATTTGTCTATGTGGAGAGAATTTAAAGGGAAGTTGAACAATGCAATAAACAAAGCATGCTTTGCATCTTTCCCATTTCAATTGTTTTCTAATCCATGCCTGCAACACATGTGTTAACAGCCCACCACAGACATCCCACCTCTAGTTTGGCTGACGATGATCTCATCTGTAAAGTGTTTCAGAGGTTTGCAAAGTACTTCTTACATACACAATGTAGTTAGAACTAATACCTTCTGATCAGTTCAACGTCTTCAAAGAAGTAGGCAGAGTTGTTAAGTAATCTGTGGTTTAAGGATGTGGTCTTTTCTGTTCTTTGTACTTGTCACCAAGTGGCAGCTTTGGCACCACAAAGCTCTTCTATATGGAGAGGGTTACTCCCAAAACCTTCAGCACAAGGTGCCACAGCCCACTCAGTGGGCCACAGCTACACTGGCGATGCTGGGCCTGCCAAATGCTCTCAACCCACCCAAGGGCTGCACTAAAGTGGGGAGAATCACTCTCTTCTTTTGTGCCACTCTGTTCACATATGCACACATACACGTGCACACACACATGCACACACACACGCACACTCTATTGCCATGCTCTGCTTTTATTGTCTCAGAGCACTTATCAATACCTGCAATCATATCATGGATTTATTTGTTTCCTGTTTATTTTTTGTCTTCCCCTCCATGAAGGCAGAGAATGTTATCAGTTTTCTTCCTTACTGTATCTCTAGCACTTGGAGCAATGCCTGGCACGTAACAGGCACTCAGTGAATATTTGTTGAAAGAACGAATTAATCCAGGAGGAGGGAACAAAATGAACAAAATGGGGAAGGCCAGTCAGAAAGAATTAACCCAAGATATGTTGGACTCCCAAAATTAATTCATTTTAAATTTATCAGTCATTTCTTAAACAGCCAACACCATCTACAGAACACCAGACATCTACTCTGCAATGCCTGAAGACATCACACTTGTATGAAGCAAAAGGGAAACACATCTATTGCTAAAAATATCGGCAAAGGATCTAACTTAATGTTATTCAGAGTTCCATCATAGTTGTAACAAAGAAAACTCACACACAGATTTCTACCTGTTGGTAGTTTTCCTTCCTGAAACTGCCCAGTGCTTCAGCATTACGATTGGTTCACCATCATGATTATTAGAAGATTTGACTCTGGTTTATTTCCCTACTCAGCAAACGTTCAACAACTCAATTCTTATTACATACCAGGCATGTGCAAGGGTTAAAGAGAGAAAACAAGATTGAGTTTATAGTCTATTGACAAATAAAAGCCCTCACATTTGGATAAAGCACTAACTAAATATTAGTTTTTCTTCTGTAAAAGAAGGAGTCCTTAAATTGACCTCTGATGTATTTGCTTTTTTCTTTTATGGACAGCTGCCTGAGGGTAGCTGTTAGAACCCTATGAAGTCTGGGCAAGTCAACCAGTATGTATCTGCATGGAATCCTGAATGACCCTGAGAGTTCAGAGATGTTAGATAATAATAATTAAACAATCCCAGGAAAAAAAAGATGCTATTTTCTTTATATGGTTTAAGTATTTGAAATCCAATCCCAATTTTGTGAAGATATATATAGAGAGAAAAAAATAAAATACTGGAGAGCTATACACTACCCAGTTGCCAGTGTTTACCCCAAGGTAAAGGGATAAGAGCTGATTCTTATCTTTTATATGTTTTCATCTCTTTTCCAAAATTCCTACAGTGAACATGTTTAACATTTACAATGCGAAAAATAAAGTCTTCTTTTAAAATATTGCTTTAAATCTATCAATTAACTATGAAGCTATTTCTACTGTTGTTTAAATTTTTTTTAGGTTGGAAGGGTTTTTTTATTATTAAGGTCACATTGGTTTATAACATTATATAAATTTCAGGTGAAATCACTATATTTCTACTTCTGTACAGACTGCATTGTGTTCACCACCAAAACTCTAGTCGCCATCCATCACTGTACATGTGTCCCTTTACCCCTTTTGCCTTCCCTCCACCCACTTCCTCTCCAGCTGTTTAGATCATTGAAATTAAATCTACATCAAGTCCGTGTTAAATTTGTCTGGTTCTCATGATAATTAACATTGTGCTTAATGTAGGAAATAGAGAAGTAAAGCAAAAAGTCCATTATGGTGTTTGGTTTCTGTGGCGTCTCCTCAAGTTTCCTTCTCCTGAACTTTCCCATTTTTTTCTTAGGCTGCCTACTGTTCCCTCCATTATACTCTCCCAGGAATTTATATGAGAGAGAAGAAACACGGTGTGAGTTTCCCAAGGACTAAAGCCTGTGATGCACTTAATGAACTTATCTCTTTGGGATAGTTTTCTGCAAACAACAGGGTCCCTTATATCCCTACTAGTATCCATAACAGAGAAATATCCATTTACAAACCATAAGACATAAGCAGATGAATCACTTTTTGGAAAAGAAGAAGAAGAAGAATAGCTAACATCTACTATAGGCATCCCTGTCACCCCGTGCAAGCACCCCATGGTCCCCATTCTGACAGGCTTGGTCCTCTTGCCCTCTTCACCCCTCCAGGGAAATGGTAAGCTAGGGGTGTGCACTCAGTGGTTCACTTACATTACTGTACATTAATATTTACACCAGAGATATTATAGATAGCTACATGATGTAGATCTTATTATACCTATTTTAAGGACAGGAAAATATTTTGGGTCTGATTAAGTGACTTACCCAAAGATACACATCTACTAACCCAGGTCTGACTCCAGAGTCCAATTAACCACACAAAGCCAGTTCTGGCTGAGAATTGACTGGGGTCAGAGGAGGTTCGCTTGTGGTTCCCAGCTTAAGAAGAGTCGCACCAAATCAGTAAATAGCACTTGGCTTTTAAATTTAATGCATTCATTGAATTAAGTTTAATGTATTATTAAATCTAGATTATAAAAATTAATATATGGAAGTGGTATCTATTTTTTAAATTACTGTATATCAAATATTTTTGAGTCATGATGAACCTCTAGGTACATTCTGTTTATAAATCTATTTAGCTCACTTGTACTTTTATAAATTTTCAGAAGAAGAGGAAAGAAGGCATTTTTAGAATCAGAAAGAAAACTTTTCAAAGAAGAAAAAAGCAACAGGATGCAGGGGAAACAGCCAGGAACACAGGGACCAAGAGGCTAAGTCACTGGAAGCTAAGTAGAACTTCACACATAGTTAAAGGCTGGAGGAAGATCAGAGTCAGGGATATGGCAGGCTTCTTTCACATTCTTCCAAACGGAGTATTTTATTTACTTCCCTGGTTTAATTCTCATGGAAAGACATAATTTACTGCCTCCTGTATTATGTACCCTCTCTCAAGTAACTATGACAAGGGAAACCTATCAAATACCCAGAAAGACAGACCCAGTCCACATGAAAACACACCCTCCAGGTATTTTGTATCCTGTAAAGTTTAATGGGGACACACAACACTTTTTTCTAGGAATAACAAGAAGTTTGGCTGAGTGAGCGAAGCGTTTTGCTTTGATGCTCTAGAGTGCGGTCACACAGGGAGGAGACCGCTGGGTGGGATGGAGAAGGCCCTCGATTGACATGGATGCCTCTCCTTGCAGAAAGCTGACGGACACATCCGGCTGAAATCTATTCATTTGTGCCCTTTCTGAATGAACTAAGCCAACTGCTACAGCTAATTCAGGTATCAATAATGCACTCAGATCCTGATTATCTCATAGGATAAAGAAAAACCAAAAACGATTTTTTTCAATCTGGTAGCAGTTTTTATAAAACAGCACTCTACATAAAATCTGAGTTTTAGTCGTTTTAGTAAGCAAGGCCTCAAATGACAGTACATTCATGTGGGTTACATATAAGTGTGTCAAAATGGACCTAGTTACAACTAGTGATATAAAGACCACCAGCAAACCAAGACTGGCCTTTAATGAAGGAACCTAGGACTTTATGGCGGCTCTCAAATTTAACCAAAACCCCTCCTGCTGAGCTTCATCAGTGGGCCACTCCAGGTAGGTCTTGGTGTTCATTATCTTCCGCAGCTTACAGAAACGCTGGGGAATGGCCTTTTTGTCAATGGGCTCCAGAAGAATGAGAATGGCAGCATCATTGTTCTCATCAAAGAGACGAAAATGGGAGAAGTCCAGTTCGTACTTACACCACTCACTCTTCACAAAGTTTTCAGAAAGCACAAAGATGGTTTTGTGGCTCTTTTCAATCGAGTCAATGATATTGTCAATAATCCATTTGCCAGGAATAAAGTCCCGCTTATGAAGACACAACTTAAAGGGAGGGTTGAAGTGCTCCAGCTCCTGCACCATGAGGTTCTCCACCCAGTAGGAGTCCCGTTCACTGTAAGACACGAAGGCGTCATAACAGATGTCCCTTTGGGGAGCTGTCCTGGGCTTCCTTTTGGCCTGGAGCCAGGCCCACATCATTTTCATGTACCACAGTCCATGGAAATGGTGACACAGAACCCCAGTGAGCAGGATCGACAGGAAAAGGGCACAGCACACAGCAGACACCAGAGCTGTCCTGTGGCATTCAGAGACCGAGAGATGAGTGTCCTGAACCCGCTGGCCCCGCACGTGGGAGGGAGAGTCACACAGGTAGTTTTCTGGCCAGTCGATCAGGATCTGGTCCAGTGCCTGCTCCTCCTGAGTGAAAGACAGGAACTCACAGGAGCAAATGAAATTGTTGCCACCAGCTTCCAAAGTCTTCAATTTTTGAAAAGAATCAAGTTGCTCCTTAGAGAAAGTATTTATTGTGTTTCTGCTGATTCTCATGACTAATAACATGGGTAAGAAGGAGGCATCTGGTAGAGTCTTCAACTTATTTCTGGAAATATAAAGTTCTTTGACTTGTGGCAAAATCAAAGAAAATGAATTGAGATTGTTATTGCTAATATCTAAAACTTCCAGTGTCTGGGGAATGCATTGGGTTAAACGATCTATTCTTATGCTGGATAAATTCAAATATTTCATCTTTTCTGGCCACTGACAAGTTTCAGGCATAGAATGAAAACTGTTCTTGCTGATGTCAAGTTTAGTCAGGTTTTTCAGAGTAAGCAAAGTTTCTCCAGTTTTTCCTAATGACGTCAAATGATTTTGCCTTAAAATTAAGGTTTGGAGGGAGGGCCAGGCACGCTCACAGGCTGAGTTTTTCAAGTATTCCTCAACCATTAAATTGTCACTGAGATCCAAATATTCTAATGATTTTAAATGTCGTGAAAGTGAACAAGGAACCAGAAAAACCTTACTATTTTCTATTGTGATCCTTTTAACTCTTTCTGTAAGTGAATAAATACTACTCAGATCACGAAATAAGTAAAACTGTGGAATACGCAACCTCCGTATCGTTAATGTCTCTAGCTTACCTATAACTTTAATTTTGTCTATATCCGGTGTCCTAAATTCACCAAGCCCATCAAGAGTACACTCATCAAACTCTGCTTCTGACACTCCAGAAATATAATTCAACAGCTTCACAATTTCATCAAAACTTTCATCAGTGATTTTCACATTTCTAAATGTGAACTTTTTAATCAATGTATTGGTTTCAGGGTCAGATACTTCTGCAAAATGGAAAGTGTTTAAATAAGTATCTCTCAGTTCCAAATATTCCAAGGAACTCAAAGTATCTAGAATAATCTCCGGCAGTAAAACAGGCTGCTTCATACGAAGGATCAAATGACTGATGTTCTGAATTGATTTGAAACTCTTGGGCTCATACCGCTGGAGATTTGTAGCATCAATCTCAAGTTCTTCAAGGAAAGTGAGCCCAGCAAAATCCTTTCCCTGAATCTCAGTGAAGTGAATATTTCCCACTTTCAGGATTCGCAAATTGGTGAGATGAGAAAAAAGAGATGTTTCCCCGAGTGTTTTGTAAGTGCTTCCCAGTAAGTTTAAGAATTTTAAAGAAGAAAGGGGCCTGAACCAGGAGGACGATAAATTAGATAAGTGATTATTGGACAAGTCCAAATGTTCAAGACTCCTCAGGGAGGAAAAAGAGTCTTCCTCTATGGTGTTGATGTCATTGGACCCCAGCCTCAGGGCCTTGAGGTTCACACACTTCCACAGGTCACTGTTGCCGACAGAGGCGATCTTGTTGTTGGACAGGTCAAGACTTTTCACAGCTGCCGTGAGGCCTGAGGGGATGGAGTTTAAAGATCTGGAGCGGCCATCGCAGACACCAGTGGGATCACAAGACAGAGAAGAAGGCTGATCAGGGACCCCTTCCTTGGAGAGGCTGATTACGGCCCCTAAGACCCACACCGTCCACAAAGCATGTGGCATTGTCCAGTGATTCAACCTACAAATAAAAGACATTCAGATGAGTGATTGTTTGACAGGGTATCGTAATTCCAGTTCTTGAGAAACGTTCTGTAAGGTGTAACACACACACACAGAGCTACCAGGAAATAAGCGAGAGGCACATGGAATGTATGAATGGGGATAAAAAATGAATTCCCTGACACATCCAGCAACACTAACATGATACACTGCACTGTGCAGTGACTTAAAAGCACAATACCATCTGAGAGTAGAGTGGGACTCGATAAACATGGGTTGAAAGAATGAGTGAATGAATGGAGGAATGACAAGCAAGCAGTTTAAGAAATGGACTAGGCTTAACCACACAGATTTACAATCACCCAAATCTGCACTTCACCCTGTTTTATATTTTAAGCATGGCTCTTCCCTTCCTCGATGCCTCCTGGGAGTTAGAGATGTCACAGAGCCAGAGCACCGCTCTCACTGGACACTATTCACTGAACGCCGCTCCAGGA